TGGAAAATTAATAAAAGACATTAATTTTCTCATAAAATGTAAAAATTCAAATAATTTTTACACTCAACAGAAAGCATGAGTATTATTTATTCAGTAATATCTATAAATGAATAAAAAATTCTTTACAAATTAAACTCTTATTACTAATGCAACTGCAATGAAACATAATGTATTTTATTATCGATATTTAATAAAGTATCGACTTATCGATTACAAACTATCGATATACTCTTTGTTCTATTTAGCTGAAGTATCGACAACATATCGATTGTTGTATGTAAAAGATCCTTAAAGTTTGAAGATAAATTTATAATAGAAAAATGTTACGTACAAAAAAAATACAATTTATTTGTAACATAACAATTTAAATATAAAATTTCGAATTAATGATTACATAGCGTATAATTAAAATACATAGTATATAGAAGTCATACGTACTCACTTGTCGGTTTGGTTAGGATAAAATCGATGTTAGTCGTTAGTGAGTAGTTTCGTTGGAGTCATGGCAGAAGTACGGCTTTATGATTCAACAATTTGTCGATTATGTGCAGAAGATAATGGTAATGGAGAACTACTCTACATGGGAGATAGTGATGATCCAGATTTAAGTTCCATGGTCAATCGGTATTTGCCGCTCAAGGTACGAGACTTCGAAACATTAGACTCTAACTTGACTTCCTACTTTGTGCACATACTACCTGAATCAAATGTTCGATATTTCCTTCTAATACTAGACACTGTTATTTACTTTGCTATGTGAAAACTTATTATACTATCTGTAAATGTTTATATGCAACAGAATTTCTTTATTATTTAAATATTTGTATAGTAATAGATATTTTGGTTACGTTTGGAGTGTTAAATATGTTTATGTGTTGTGTATTGCTATGCTGTGTTAGATTAATTCTATGTTTCAATTAATTTTCTTTAATTAAAATTTAATTCAAGGTATGTAGAATTTCAATTTTTCGAAGTAATCTTTTATATAAACTACAAATAATAATAGAATAGTAACTGTAAAAATTAATTTCTTTTTAAAGGTTATGTTACCGTAAAAAAGTATTGATTCTATTAAAAAAAAATATTGTAATACAATTTTAATTAAAGATTCGAGATGATGGCAAACTACCACGTACTATTTGCCCTGGTTGTAATATTCAACTGGAAGCTACAATACAGTTCTTTGAATTATTGGTTGATGGTCAAAGGAAAATTCGTGAGATGTGGAAGCATCAGATAGAACAACAACGTAAAGCTGACCGAGAACGTCTTCGTGCTGTGAAGGAAAATGCAGAAGTTAGAACAGAAACATCAGATTTAGATAACATTTCACAATACAACGAAGAAGACCAGTTTGAACAACAAATTATAATAAAAAGTATTATTTTATAATTTTTCTAAATGAATATTTGCTACAAGAATGTTAAGTGCTTTATTCTTTAATAGTAATGCCAGATGGTTCTATGTATGCTGCGGAACATGAAATGAGTTTACAAATGGAAGGATTAAATAAACCTAAGCGAAAAAGGGGACGTCCACCAAAATCACACACAGAAAACATGTCTATGGTTAGTAAAGATAACGTTTTTATTTAAGATAAAGCATTTGAAAGTGTTAAATTATAGGAATTAACAAAAGGAGAAGTATTAGAAAGTGTTAGTCAAGAAGAAGAAGATAAGCACGAAGATGAAACTGATGATGTGGATGGAGATGGCAGACGTCGCAGAAAGCGTAAAGTTCCCAAAAGGTATTTTCTAGAAACAGAAACAATTTAAGATAATTACCATCATTTTTATAATAGAATATGGAATGGCTTAGATATATGGAAGCAGTTCAAGGCAAAGAACTAGAGAGAATATATAAGGAAGAAGGAGTAATTGATGAGGAAGATGATGATGAACCTGATAATTTTGAAGATGCTGAAGAGCAGTTAAATATGTCCGTTCCTGATAGTCAAGAAGGTAAGAAATACTAAAATATTATATTAATATATTATGGTCTATATGCATATATTTACGTTTTGTTGCATACATTTCGTTTATATTAGTATAACAATAAAATAATAAAAACAAGAAAAAATCTGTAGGGTCCAGAAACAATTACAATTATTGTCTTCTTTGTTTACAAGTAAAAGTATTCAGTGAAAGGCCTAACAAACTAGTAAGAAGTACAAAGTATAGTAGAATAAGAAAACTATATGTATATATGTGCAAAACTTTCGAAATTCTATTATACAAGATGGCTCAGGTAAATGGGATCACTTAAATATCTACCTTATTTGTTGTTGTATGAAAAAACTCAAGACAAAGTTACACTATTTCAAAGTGCGCATGTAATTATGGAAACTGTTTTTTCTCAAGGCCATCTTTTTACGAGATTTCAAGGACATCGTTATTTTTTTAAGTGGAACCCAATATTTTTTTTCAATATACTTGTAGAGAGTAAAAAAACAAATTCAACGACCTCAATAACCATACTATCCCCCTCATTCAATTTCGAGATATTTGCGTCCAAAGACAATTAATATTTCCTAAAGATTTATTCAAGAACATCGAGTCACACGTTCGTATTCGAACTTAAACATTACACGATATAAATGAATAGCAGTTCTTGTCGAATAAAATAGTGTCACATTTTACCAATTAAAATAAAAGTGAAAAAAAATTCTTACACTCGGAAGATTGCAACCCAGACTTTCCCCTTACGAAGCGAATGCTCTATGCGTTGACCCACTGCGGATTATAGAATATCACTTAAGCTTCAACAGTTTTATAGATCTAATTTTAATTGTTTATAAAAAATGCGCATGGGAATGAAATATTTTACAAAATGTCCTTTTTAGACCACTAGATTCATCCAAAATTTTAGCTGTGGGTCTTCTTATAGCTGCGATTCCGTATCTCCGTTAGTTCTCCATATCTCACTCGCACTCAATGCTTCTCACTCCAACTTCCACCCATTTAGAGGCGAGCGAGCCGGTGAAAGAAAAACAGTCGGTAATTTCTGCAAAACCACCTCCTTTGATAGCTGCAACAGTAAGGTCCCAAACCCACCGCAGCTAAACGGGCACTGCTGCAATGTAGTAAAAGAATACTATTGTATTCTTTGTTTAATTTAATAATAAAATAATACAATTTCTAT